AAAATTTAGGGACTTGAACATAAAAGCCTGAAATGTAAAAATGATAGGCACCCAGAGGTAGTAATGCATGAGCTTCTCAGATATTAGATTGTCTTCGTCATCATAAGTGGAACCGATCCAGCAGTGTCAAAATGAAATCCTAAGTACCGTATATAGTCGACCTTTTAATCTTAAAGATTACCCCGCAAAATATGCGGTCGTCTAATACAACAGTTTAAAAAAAATCTAACCTTAAATCCTGTGGTGTATCGGTACTGGTAAGTAGGCTAGTATGCTTGCGCCATGGATCGCGTTAGGTAACTAACGATACAAATATTTCTAGTTGAAACAATTCACCTTATAATATAATGCTACATTTATTAATGTAATAAAACTACTTTTAATTCTTGATTTCACATAAAAATACAATATTCAAGAGACGGTTACACAACAATTTGCAAAAGTTCATCTGAGCCGCCCACACAAATAACAAGTAACGTAAACAAATCTTTCGTTCTTGATTTGTAGAGCTATGGATGCATTCGCACCAATCATTATTTTTCATAGTAGTATTAAAAACAACATTTAGGATAACATGCAGTTTATATTTCTAATTAAAATTCATTATCATTGTGGTGTTAAATAATAACAATAACATTTAATATAGCAGAGAAAGTTTATTTTTCAATAACGTACATTATATGGTATTTTTATGCGGTGTTAAGCAAAAAAACATTTAAGATCGCATAAAATCTTTATTCCCCATTACAGAATACGCCATTTTTTTTCATTTGTATGAGTCATCAGAATGAAATCTTTATTGTTATTTTCATACAAATTCATATTAATACTTTATATTATTTTATTCCATTTGATCTGATAACGATAAAGAATGTAATCTTTATTGTTATTTTCATACAAATTCATATTAATACTTTATACTGTTTTATTTCTTTTGATCTGATAACGATAAACGTAAGTAAAACATCATTTATAAATAACATCAGCTTTCTTTTATACTTGTACGAATCATTATGATAGCCCTAAATGCTATCGACAACATAGGCTAGCCTACCGTACGTAGACTAGCCCATGTTTTCGATCGTCTTATACTACGAATATATGTCTGTGCGTATTATAAAATTCCATAAAATTGTAACAGTTCCTATCTCTGTAACCGTATCTGGGGGCGTTCATACCATTTTCTTGGATTTTCCTTCCAGTAAAAGTTGCATATTTTTTAGTGCAGATATTGGCTTATCATGGCGAATTTTATATTCGATGGATGCTAATACCGTGCAACGTGATACAAGATGGTTAATTGTTTCTGAGTATTCATCACAGAATCTACATTTTGGATTAACACAATTTTTCAGTATATTTGCTTGTTAATTTAGCAAGCGTTGGTCCTGTACAGCAAGAAGAAAACGTTCAGTTTCAGATTTGCAGCTTTTAACCCTGCACTGCGCAATCACTGATGGGTATGGGGTATGTGGTTTGCCTTTCCCGGCTTGTTTGGAACGGGTAGGGTATTGACCACGAAGAGGCTTATCTTTTTTCCATCGTTTCTGCATTTGATCCATTGCATTTGCTTTTTCTATCTTTTTAGATTTTTTTTTTTGTCGCTGCGGTAGGTCTATTACGGTTTACTTTATCCACTTGAAATTCTCTTTTGAATTATTTCGCTTCCTTTATTACTGAATAAAGTTACCTATTTCTTTCATGTTCTTTGACACAGATCATCATCCGGTCTTCTATATTTTCTAAGTAACTTTGAAGGCCGATTGTTGTAGTTTCGTAAGACAGTTCTAGTTGAACTAATCCTCTGCCTCCTTCGGATCTGGATACATGCAGACGATCAACATTGGCCTTAGGATGATACATGCATTGGCAAGGGGAAAACTTTCTCGTTTTGACATCAAATCGTTTAATATCAGCCATAGTACAGTTAAGGATATTGAAACCATATTGCACTACAGGGACGGCCAATGTGTTTATGGCTGTTATTCTGTTTGTGAATCCAACTCGTTATTTAATGCCAGATACACACGCCTGTCATATTCTTTTCTGACTTTCTCCTTCATTTTGGGTATGCGGTAATTCATCTCCTTCGCTGACTTCTAGGTATTTATAGGCGCTTTCTTGTTCCAGTTTTATAATCTTTGTGACAAAATCAAGATCTATTGAGTGTGTTTCTGTAATTCTTCCTCTCTTGAATGCTATTTTTTCACATTTCTTTAATCCGAAATCCCTACCATTATCATGGCAGAAACATTTTACAATATTCAGGAGACCTTTCAGCTCAATGTCGTCTTCATCTATGTAGAAGTGGTGATTAAATACTTTATAGTTTATTTTTTATTCATAGTTATTACAGTTTAGTTCATGTAAAAGAGGAGATTAGGGAGAGCCAAAACAAAGTGGGTGAGAGGGAGCCTCCTTGAAGAATTTATTGTCGATATTTAAACGATTGGAAGTAGCAGTACCTTTGGTGTGATTTAGGCATAACGTGGGTACTATATTCCCATTGTATATTTAAGGAAATTTGCTATTGCCGAGGAGACTGTACGTTTTCAAAGCCTTAATGATCCGAGAGTGTGGCACGCTATCAAAAACAATGCCATAACCTATCCAAAATGTACTGAGAGTTCTACCTTTTTTTCTGGAATATTCCATGATCATTTTATTTATCAAGAGTTGATTTTGCAATCATATTGATCTCTTCGGCACCCTTTCTCTTACAGAGGAAGAATGTTTTTTTGAACGAGAAAAAATACGTACAGTCGTTCATTTTCAGATGTGATTAATTTATATGTGGTGGACAGACATGTTATTACCCTATAATTTTTGGATCTTCAGTGATCAATTCTGGAATTGCATTGGAACTATTAATTCGCTTTGGTTTGTTCCGGTTGCCATGCTTTTCCCGGATATCTTAGTTTAGGTTATCCCCCTTCAGTAACTCTATTCTCCAAGATTTTGTTCACCTCTGTTGTGGACAGGTATTGAACTCACAGCTCTTTCGGGTCAAGTCACTGGATTAATTCAATCAACTCCGTTCTCCAATGGGCCTGAGATATCTAGAAAAGGCATGGCAAGTGGAACTAGTACAATCTACCCTGGTGGACTAAATAAAGGGTTCGGTTCGAAATTCCAGCATTTATCACCTGAAGAATGCCGGGGCGTACATCAGCCGAAAAGTCGTAAATAGGACAATAAAGATGTGGACAACAGTCCGAATAATGTAAATAGTGTTAAAGCTACATATTTTTAATTTTCTAGAAATATTTTTTCGTTCTCACAATAAACTAAAATATACACCTGTGCATAAAAAAAAATTCTCTTTCTGTTTGGCAACCACACCTATAATGGAATGAGTATAAACCAACATGTGCAAGAATTTTAAGCCATTTTTATGATTCCTTGAAAATGAATAAGAATATTGCTGATATATACAGTGGGGGTGGCGGAAACAAATCTTCGTAGACATACAAATTTTTAATTTATTGTATTTCCAACTAATTAATAAACATACTTTTCATATAATTAACTGTAAACAGATACATAACTTTTCTCTTTCTCCTCGTTACTAATATTTCTGTTCCGAATTCCTTCACACCCTGTAACCCTTTGCATGCTAGCGGTCGTACTGACTTGCTTGGGGTGATATTAATTAAAAAAAAAAGCATTTTCTTACCAATACCACCAGTTTCCAACTAGATACCTATGCGGAAGACTCAACTAGGTACTTATATTTTAATAGTAAGTCAGAGAGGTCCGACAAATTAATTAGCAGTCTGCATCATTTATAATTGCTACTTCCCTCTACTATATAAGAAATCCCCTCAAAATATAGTGTTTCATATATTAGTTCTATGTATTTGAAATTGCAGTAGCCGGGCTCTCAATTTCAATCAAAATTGTTTTAAGTGTTGCTTAGGATGATACATGCATTGGCAAGGGGGAAACTTTCTCGTTTTGACATCAAATCGTTTAATATCAGCCATAGTACAGTTAAGGATATTGAAACCGTATTGCACTACAGGGACAGCCAATGTGTTTATGGCTGTTATTATGTTTGCGAATCCAACTCGTTATTTAATGCCAGATACACACGCCTATCATATTCTTTTCCGACTTTCTCCTTCATTTGGGTATGCGGTGATATTTTTGAATGAATAAAGAAATAATGAAAGGATACGATAAGACAACCAAGATATTCAATTTCAACTTGCATTGGAAGGACTAGCATTTTGCTCGGCGAAAATAGTCACCTACAGAGTACTAAAGGTTAAAATTGGCAGCTGCTCTCTAAAATGAACTCCGATCTGTTGTTAACTTCGGCAAGAAACCAGTTGTAAATTTTAACGCCTCCAAAATGAAACTGCTGTCATTTCATCCCGATAGAAAACAATTTTTTACCCGACATCAACATGGCAGGTGCTAACTTCCAGGAGAGCAACTCATGTTTTTTCACTGAAAGGGTGTGAAAAGATTATATTGAATTAGTTGCTAAGTCTGCTTCTAGGAAGGTTAGTTCACTGTGTCGTGTCAGATAATTTTTTTCTTATCTTGCAAATTTATAAATCTATTATTTGTCCGTGCATTGAATATTACTGCTATATCTGGTCTGGTGCTCCTGCTATATATCTCGAGATTCTAGACAAAATCCAAAAAAGAGCCTGTAATATTATCGGTCCTGGCCAGGCATCTCGATTTCAGTCATTTTCACACTGTCCTGACGTGGTTTCCCTCTGCCTTTATATATATATATATATATATATATATATATATAAAACTCTTCATTGCCAATTCAAGAAACACATTCGGATTACTAACACAAAAACAGAGAATGTCTCATATCGAGAATATTCAACATTGAAAAACATAAGGAAAAAATTAATTATTTTTAATAATATGTGGAAATCTCCGCTTTTACCTGAAGACGGTCACGAGACCAGAAACCCGTGTAGTAAAATTATGGAAAATAAAGCATAATTTTTTTTTCTAAAAAAAACACATTACAAGCAAAAACGAATGGAGGAAAAAGGAAAGAAGAATGAAAAAGGAGAAGAAAATACAGAAGAAAAATAAAAGAAGGATGAATCAGGAGAGAAAAAAAAGAAAGTCTGAAAGAAAGAAAGTGGAATGAAAAAAGAAAATTGAAACAAAGAAAGAAAGAATAAAAAATGGTGGAATTAAAGATAAAAATTGAAAAAAAAAGAAAGAAAGTATAAGAAAGAGAGAAGGAAAGAAAAAAGATAGAATGCAAGAATAAAGAGAGAAGAATGAAAGAATGAAGAATAAAAGAAAAAAGGAGGAAAACTAAAACAAGGATGAAAGAAAAAGAAAGAAAGAAAGAAAGAAAGAAAGAAAGAAAGAAAGAAAGAAAGAAAGGCAAAATGAAGAGAGAACAAAAAATGAAAGAAGAATGAAAAAAAGACATAATAAAAGAAAGAAGGAAAACTAAAAGAAGGTTGAAAGAAAGAAAGAAAGAAAGAAAGAAAGAAAGAATGAATGAAAGAAAGAGAAAAGAAAAGAAAAAAGGGCGGAATGAAAGAATAACGAGAAAATAATGAAAAAAGTAAGAGTAAAAGAAAGAAGCAAAATTAAAACAAGGATGAAAGAAAGAAAGAAAGAAAGAAAGAAAGAATACGGGGGAAGAAAGAACTGGAAAGAAAGAAAGAAAGAAAGACAGAAAGAAAGAGAGAATGAAGAGAGAACAAAAAATGAAAGAAGAATGAAAAAAGACAGAATAAAAGAAAGAAGGAAAACTAAAAAAAGATTGAAAGAAAGAATGAAATCAAGAATGAAAGAAAGAGAAAGAAAGAAAGAATATGGTAAAAATGCAATTGTTGAACGAGAAGCAAAATAAAACACATATCCGGAAGATAGAGAAATACATTTATTATAAAAATACAAAAAATACATATTCTTTTTGAGATTTAAAAAAACTAACAATTTTTCTGATAAAAAAAAAAGAAAGTTAAGAAAAGATTTCAGGCTAGATGGATGGTCAATGGTTACTTATTGATTTTCACATGTGAAAATAATATACAAATCGAACAATGGCTCAGCAATTACTCCGTTAATACATCCAAACATGTTTTATTAAAATTGACACACAAGGTCAATCTGTTTAAAATTCTATAACAATTTCAACATGAAAACGTTATATATATATATATATATATATATATATATATATATATATATATATATATATATATATATTAGTGAATATATATAATATCCAACGTCGATAGCCCGACTAGGAGCTTCATGCAGTTAACTGCAATCTTCAGGTGCAAATAGAGTCTCACTGAATCTACAGGAAACACCAAGTCGTGCTATTGACGTTGGATATTATGTAGATTCACTAATATATACTTAGAGTTTTGTCTCATAACATTGTCTTTATACACTTCTGGAAAAAATTATTTATACGTGCGTGCATGTATGTTTTCTATCATACACATACCATATATATATATATATATATATATATATATATATATATATATATATGTATATGTATGTATATGTGTGTGTGTATGTGTGTGTGTTGTTTAAAAGTTGGTATATTTATAAGAGAGTGGTCAGAAGTCAAAGAGAGACGATGTATAGATATAGTCAGTGTGGTCATAGGGAACAATGACGCAATGTGACCAGCAGTTTTACGCCTCGTCCGGTTACCTCGGATCCCACTTACCATAATCCCGTCGAATTCAGACCAAAGATTGCACTGAAGCGTAAAACCGACAGTCACCATACAGTATTGAATCCTATGCCCACACTGTCAATATACATACATACATATATATATATCTTATCACTGGTAATGTGATAGTTGCGAAAGTAGCCATATCTCTTTGTTTAAACAGTGAAATTAATGTCTACTGACTTAAAGTCTTAATAAAGACCTTCTGTTATTAATACTTCCAATCTCTAGGCCGTCAGACATTAATTTCACAGTGACGATCAACTCAAACACGGGAGCCTATTTAATATAACGCTTACAGCAATAATGTGTTTACAAATGAGAACTGTATATAAATGCATCTCAGTTTTGCATTTAGCTGCATGCTACCTGTTACATCCAATTGCAAATAAAACACTTTGTTTGCCTGTATAAAGCTTCATGGAATTTTGATGAAAAAATAAATTCTTGAAAGAAAGGCCATATATACAGAAAGTGCTACCCAAAATTTCTGTGAAATTGCACACATTGTTAGTATGTCAAATTAGAAATATTTTCCTCTTTGTCTCGCTAGATATTTTGCACATTACTAGAAGCACACTCTCAGGGAATAAAGAACGTTTTTTTCTTAGTCTTTTTTTCTTTGACGAAGCTATTTTTCTGCGTTAACGTCACAAAACATTTGGATTGCACCCCGATTATTCATTTCTATCTATATATGTAGGTGTATGTATGTGTGTGTGCCTGCGTGCGTGCTAGTGCGTGTGCGTGTGTGAGAGCGTACTTATCTGTACCCGCGTCCATATATATATATATATATATATATATATATAGGCACACAAGTCTTCACCACTATAATCAAATGGGCAGTCTGACGAATCAGTTCACAAGCCGAACTGTTAAGTCCTCATACCTTTAAAATCAAGTGTCCACACACACAGACACACACTCAGACAGACACAAAGAGACAGAGTCACTCAATCACTCACTCACACAGGCATTTCTAAGAAATAAATCGATCTATTTTAATCTGACTTTTTTATCATTTCACTTTAATAACATTTGAAGTAAAATAAATGTATCTCTCTTTCTCTTTATACATATATTTGAATTATGGATTTTTCATATTAGCGACTGCTCCTATACACACACACACACACACACACACACACACACACACACACATATATGTATATATATATATGTATATATATATATATATAAAGACAAAAGAAATACTAATCTTAGCCGATGCTTTTTGTACTCTAATGGACTTTATCAAGGTAAACGTAATGATTTTATTTTGCAACAAATATTTAAAATCCTTACATTGCCTTGATAAAGGGTTATATATATATATATATATATATATATATATATATATATATATATATATAATTTCCAGCAATACCATTTGGATTTAGAAATATTTTATATGGAAGCCCGTAGTTGAAATAAAACAATTAAAATTGTTGCACTATTTCAGTCGGAATGACGCATGAGCCCCTACAGTAAGCATTTACAAAACGTGCTATTTGACATTTGGAATTGAAAGAAGAATTGTGTCTAAAATTAATTACACTTGTGTCCCTTAATGAATCAAAAATTCGATTTTTTTCTTTTTTTGATAAATGAAATATGATATGAAAGAACAATGAGAGTTCTTAGCATTTGTTTTATTTTAGAAAACAGTGCTCGATACAAACAGTAGAGCATAATATTATAATTGTCTTTTTAAAAAATATATTATCATCACAACACCGAAATATAAATATAAAAATTGAATAAAAAATAAAAATACCGAATGCCAAAAGGAAGTTTGTCTCATTAGACAGATACTACAGACGCCACCATGACTTGACCGACTCGATAGATACAATACATGAGTTTTCTAAATAATTTAAAAATTAGCCCCCCCCCTAAAAATAAATAAAAGATTAAATTTTTCCTTAACCCCAGCATCTCAAAATATCAAATTTGTTCGGACTTATAAATTAATTAAAAATCAAAAGTTATTCTTAGCATCGCTAGATAATGGAACGGAACTTTGTATTTTAAGTTTAATTTTTATGATTGAATTTGAATTAAAGATTCAATTTTGAAAACATGGGAATTTCGGTGTTGCAATGATAATATAGTAGAAAAAACAATGATAATAAATATATATATATATATATATATATATATATATATATATATATGAATCAATCGTCAGTTATAGATACATATTATCTTCTTTTGTATTTATTTACGTATAGAAATGTTTTTTTCATTATTATTACTATAAACGAGACTTTAATGTATAAGCGTATTTAAGTCGACCTCCCTGTCTATTTATAAACAGTGCAGTTTATATCTATCGGCTTGGACGATCGAATGTCTTAAGGAAAATGTACCTCTCGACAGGGATCGAACCAGCAATCCTTTTCTTTGGTAGAGGGGAACACCCTTTAAGCCAGACGTATATTGCTATTAGGCTACGGACGTCCTTACCAAGCAAAGCAAGGCCGACAGCCTTTTTAAGAAATGCACTCGTAGGGTCTTTTCGGTGTCTATATCTGCTTAATTACATTTATATAACCGTAACGTAAACAAAATATTTTCAGTTGCAATCACATATATTCCTCTTCATCTTTGAGATATTCAGCTCTGGGCCCGCAGAAGACTTTGCAGACCAGCCTCGACCCTGAATATCATTTTAGATATCTGACACACGAAATCCTTTTTGTAGAGTCTGGAAACTGACATACTCTTCCTGCACTCTCACAGGCCACTTGTGTCCGGCGGCAAAACTGCAAATTTTATCACTAAACTGACATAATTACATTGCAGGTCTGTCAGGAAGGACATTCAACATAGTCGGCATTCGACTGTATTTATTTTCATTTATGTCGATATCTGTGAGTAGTAAATTAATAGAGCTATTAGAAAAATAATTAATAATGAAAACAAATCATGTTACAAAGAATATTACCCTAGAATACTCAAACTGCATTGTCTCACTAAAACCCACAAAGCGGGCATTTCAATGCGTTTCATTATATAAAATGTTTGTAGATTTCCCCACACCCTCTTCTTGGAACAACCAGCCTATCATCCTTATATATATATATATATATATATATATATATATATATATATATATATATATATATATAATAATAAAAAAAAGAACAGTAAGATATATAATCCGGTGTTCTTATTGATATTTTTATTTTTACAAAACAGTGCTCAATGTAAATTTACAGAGCAAAAATATTATAAATTAACTGATTTAAAATATGGTTTCTTCACTGCACAGGAATTACCATGTTTCAAAAACCGAAGCTAAAAACTTCAAATTTAATTATATAAAAAAAAAAAATTATGAATTGTATGTGTGTTTAAAACTCAGTAAATTTAAAAATAAGTTATTCCAAAATTCGCTTTAATATGAAACAGAACTGATGCTTTTAGTTTAATTATATAATTAAATTTGAAGTTTTTAGCTTCGGTTTTTGAAACATGGTAATTCCTGTGTAGCGAAGAAACCATATTTTAAATCAATTAATATATATATATATATGTGTGTGTGTGTGTGTGTGTATGTATGTATATAAATATGCATGTGTATGTGTGTGTATATCAAAATATACAGTTAGCATATGTCAAGTGTATAAAAAATATTGATTTCCTTTGAACCTGTCGAGATGTTAAAAAAATAAACACACTTTGACGGGAATCCCGTTTCTTTTAACAAACACAAATTAAACGAGTAATAAAAATTTGATAAATAAAATATATGCCAGATTGCAAGTCAGTCTTTGTATTTGAGAAGAACTCATGCTCGGAAAAGTTTAAAATCTCGGGGTATAAGTTACAAATACAAGGTTAAAACTAAAGTTAAAACAAGACAAAACAAAAAAAACATGTGAATATTTTTGGTCCCGTTAATTTAAAAAAAAATTACATCAGAAATTATTTTGAAATTATGATCCATAATTTATTTTTATCCGACATTTTTTCAAACGTAATTTTTAATGGATATCAATATTTTAAATAGACGCCATGTTTTTTTTTTTTTTTTTAAACTGT